GGGTTGCTCCCATGTCTTGGCTATTGTATACAGTGCTGCTGTGAACACTGGAGTGCATGTATCTTTTAGAATTAACATTCCCTCTGGATATATGCCCAGGAGTGGGATTGGTGGATGATAGGGTAAGTCTATTTTTAGTTCTTTGAGGAATCTTCATACTGTTTTCCATAATGGGTGCAGGACAGGGAGTAAATATGTTAGAACTTTTAACAAGGGCTTTGCCTGGATTATAGAATTACAAACATCTTTTATTGTCTTTATATTTTTCACACTTTTATTTCTTTTTGCAGTGAACTTGTATTACTTGGGGAGGAAGAAAGGTATTCATACCCTCACACACAAGAGGTGGTGGTAGAGTCTAATGTGGGTTGTCATAGCCCAAGTGGGTGAGGAGGACATTCAGGAAGGGGAGGGGCAGCAGGAGACTGGAGTAGGTGTCAGAGCACAGTGGGGATAAGACAGACTCTGCCCTGCATGGCGGGACCATGGCAGGGAGATTCCCAACCATTATAGAGAGAAATCTGATGCAGGGAAAAGGTGCCTCCTGGATATTTACTTGCTTACCCTTTTCATCAGTTTGCTTTTAAGAATTGAAAAAAAAATAACACAGGGTTTGGGTTTTTGGTTTGGGTTTTGCTACTGGATTATTGAAAGACTTTAGGCCAGACTCCACTTACAAGTCAACGCAGACCTCTCACTTCTTTCATCCTCAGGCTGAACCTTCACACCTGTGCTCACCTGCCTGACCCTTGGAGGCACTGGAGTGTGTGATTGTGGATGGATGCTTTCTGTGCCTTGGTTAACTCAGGTGGTTTTGATCAAAGAAGCCGAGTCTATAAAGCCCCACAGCCCAGCACGCCCTCCTCTTGCTCAGGATTTGCAAGACGTGGTGGAAGGTTTCAGTTGTTGCTGGGCGCAGAGACTGCCTGGTAAGGTAACACGTCTTACGTTTTTGTCTTTCAGGAAAGCGGGTGTGCCTTGGAGAGCAGTTGGCCAGGTCCGAGTTGTTCATCTTTTTTACTTCCCTTGTGCAAAAATTCACCTTCAGGCCTCCAGACGATGAGAAGCTGAGCCTGAAGTTCAAAACGGGCCTGACCATCTCCCCAGTCCCCTACCGCATCTGTGCTGCTCCCCGGGAGTGAGGTTGTCCGGGAGGGCGGGGGAAGGAAAGCAAGAAGAAATCCCATGTCCCCTTGCCCCCATGGCACTATTGCCCGCTGAGAAATGAAAGAACAGAATGACCTGCCTCTGAGGAAGGTCCTAGGACTTAGACTCAGAGGAAACTGGATCCAAACCCCAGGTTTCCCATCCCCAGTGTAGCCCTGAGTGCATCAGTTATGTGGTGAGTGATTTGCCTCTTCACCCAGAAGATGAAGAGGGTAATGATTTTTCTCTAAAAGAAGAATCACTATAAAAATCAGAGTAAATAATGGACTTTACTGATCTGAAAACCATAAAGCACATCATAAAATTTGTAGCTGTGACCTGCCTGCCTCCTGCTTCCTTCCTTTGTCCTGGATTAGCTTCTGGTCTGTTGACGTGGCTCGGGTCAGATTTTGCCAAATGGTGGGTGAGAGTTAGCAGACCCTGGGGCCAGCAGAGCTGTCAAGTGGAGAGACTTTGTCCCTCCTTCCGCCATATTATGTACCCTCTTTACAGAAGTGAGCTACAGAGGTTACAAAAACTGCTTCCTGATGCCCCGTGGCAGGACCCACCCGGGGTTCCAGTGCCTTACTGTAGCACTAGGGCCTCAACACTGCTTTCCAGGGGCCCTTTGACTGGCAGCAACTGGATGCAGCTGAAACCAAGAAAGGAAGAGGCCCGTTTTCACCTCCTGTTACACGTGTGCCATCCCGTCCACAGTGAGAGCCTCACAAATGCTCTTTCTCTTTCCGTGTGGAATGAAAGTGTACGAGAGTGACTCCTGGGACTGCTCAGGACCTTGCTGTGTCCCAAGGTCAGCCCTGTGACAGAGGGACAGGACAGGACTGGAAATGTCAGGAATTAGACAGAAGCTTCACAGCTCTGACCTACTTTATGAAG